TTATTGCCACGATTTCGGGGCAACATGTCGGCCAAACCACAGAAAAAAAGGAACGCGTTGTTAGGGAGACAAGAAAGAGCCGATGCTCGAACGAGTAACGACGCTCCTCGGCGAATATATATCATGTTACCTCGGATCACATACTACCTCTCTTAATTCTCTATGTATGTATTCAATTATATTTGAATAATTGGCCACCCGACAAGTTGTGGATTAAGCAAACGAAACGTTTTATCCGTTTTGTGCTCGGATCGACTTGTGTTGCGTGGTTGTCGGGCAGGAAATTGAATTCGTTCGCGTTTTCAAACATCAGCATACGTTTGGCCGTAACGTAGGAAAATTTCTTCGTATTATGCGTATTGTGTAAGTAACATTTCTGATTCTGAAATTCGATTCGATGTGTTTAATGGTTGCTACGAAGGTTTCGTAGTATAATCAGCTTCCGACTACTTTTAACGAGGATAAAATATCGAAAGCCAGTATTGAAATACGATTCGAACGAAGGAAAGAATGTTTAAAGGATTGTACGTAATTAATCATGCTCATTGTTGGAGTAAATAGAGACAGCATATGATGCTTTAACCAGGCGTTTATTTTACATTTATTCATCCGAATGTCTTTATTTCTTTTACTTTGCACGATATCCTTAAGTCTTTGAATTATTTCAACTATTAAAATTCTGAATTTTTTCTAATTATATTTACCATTCAAATATATAGATATTCTTCCTTTCAAAATATTCTCTTTCCAAAAAATTTACATATTTGTTCCGTCTAATAAGTTTTCTTTATTAATTTCATTCGCTTCAATCTTCTTCGCATCCAACAATAAGCAAAGATCAAAGCAAAGACATTCAATATGCTTCCACGCATCATCTTATATAATATTTTTACGCCACGCGTGCACGTTTTATTGGGCTCTGTCGGATATCTCGAGGGCGGGCACGGAATGTCAATAGTCATAATATCAATATCCTCTTGAGGTGGTAGGCACGGGTTCATAAGCTCCGACAAGCAAATCTCGCGAGAGCACCTGCTGGTTTGACACTCTTCGAGCACAGAGGGATACCACCTTCCTTCTATGATGCAGCTTTCGAACGTTCCTCTTTATAATCTTTTTTTCGTGGTAATACTGCCGTACATACTTGCGGCGAATCGTGATACTCCCTTTATTCACGGGAGAAAAAACACTTACCGGCAGCTGGCCCCTCTGGTGCTTTTCTCGCAGAGCGGAAATAAACCGTCCCGGAAGGCAACGAAGTTTAAGAAACTTAAATCAATAAACCGTGTGGACATATGGAATTGTAACTTATGTTACCACCGTTTACCGGCCCATTTTTATTCCACGCCCCCGCCCACGGAAGGGGTATCGAAGGATATCGCAGGAAATCGTGGAAAACGATCCCTTTCCCCCTTCCATCCTTTTCTTCTTTCTTTTTTTATTGAATTTTATTCGATTTAAAACGTGGAAACGTGTTCAATATATATTCCCCTCCCGGCAAATGAACGACGTGAGAAGGAATCGTGAAAGAAATTTTCTCTTTTCTGTAATAATAGCTTTTCCTTCTTTTTTTCAAGTGGTAAGGTGGTTCTTCGATGACACGCGAGGTTAAACATTCGTTTCAACATTCCGTATCTTCATCTCCAATCCAATTAAAAAGTTTATTCGATAATAGTCAAAATCAATTCTTATCAATTCTTCGAATTAATATACAATTTTTCGAGGTTGGTCTTATCGTCTATGGAGCAGAAAGAACACGATATTAATAGGGATTGTCGCAGAGCTTGATCTCGTTCAAAGGCAAGGTGAAAATATTCACTCCGATACCCCTTATCGATGTATACACACGGGAGAGGGATGATATCCGCGATCTTCGCTCTTCTCGATCCACTCGGTGGGAGAGAAGTGCATGCATTCTCATAAGCCGCGACAAGCAAATCTCGGTGTATTCGCGGAGAAGACGGGTGGGAATCTCCGCGGTTCTTCTGCGAGGTGTACGTGCCCGGGATATCTCGTGTATCGTGAAGGGGAAACCCTGTTTGGATAGATCGCATCCACTGATCGTGATATTTCGCCTGTGTGACACGTGTAATCCGAACGACGATTTATTTATAACGCGTTTCGTACGTAGCGACGTTGATGCGTCGCTCGGTTTCTTTCGCGGATTTGTCAGCCCATGAATAAAAACGAGACAGTTGGACGTGAAAATCACGACGAGTTTCGTGGTAGGGTACTTACGAATTTGGCCGCTTCCTCTTCAACGATTGGGGAAACGATGGACGCGAGATAGGAGAACGATATCGATATTTTTAATTATTTTTCTTTTGAATGTTGATGAAAGATGTAAGAGATCGAGGAAATTATTGTCGATCGTACATCGATAATCGAACGAATGAGTTTTTTTCAATAATTTAACTTTCTATGAATTGATGTTAATTTTTTTTTTTTATGATTTGAGAAGATTGGAGAAGAAGATAGATTTATGAGTATTTCGATAGGAAGGTTAATATCTCTTAAACAAGTTTAATTTTTTTTTCTTTATTGATTAAAGAGTATTGGAGGTAATTAATGTAATGGGGAATTTTTGGTAATTTCTCGTTAATTGATCATTAATGTTTACGCGTCTTAATAAAGGTTTTCATGATTTGACTGATGATGGGCATGTTTACGTATAATTTGTACACAGCATATGATGTTCTCAGCATAATATCTCTAGGCTATGCACATATTGCTTTCAATGAATCAGACATGAAGATCAGTTGGTAAATTATTCCCATATTCACATCACTTTATTATCCTTTAATTATTTTATCTTGTAAAAAATCCTTCTTATTTAAAAATGTCTATGTGTATGTTACTTGCTTTTCTAATCTCACGATGGCAATTTTTTTTTATTATTCGTTACTTCGAATGGAATTTAAAACTTAGCACGAGCATGACAAGCGCGATGAAAAACATGTACAAACGATATTGCCACGGTACGAGAGTACGGATTTCACGATCTCACGGTTTGCCAAGAATTTTCAGGCGAACGACAGACTTTCCAAGACAGAAACGGGAAGTTCGCGAAAGGAACGGATCCGTGTTTCACGCTCGAGAGCGTTGAAAACGCGTTGGGATAAGGAGTTAATGAAAATATATTGCCCCCAATAAGGCAAAATAATCGCTCGTTCAATTCGTTCTCTCCTTCCTACCCACCCAATTCCTTTTTATAATATTATCCGACAATAAGATCCTTATTTACCATTCTCTCTTTTCACCCTTTATTCCTCTCTTATTTTCACCCTTCTTAATTTCTTCTTCTAGTTTCTCTCACATCTCGCAAATGCTTGTTTCTCGCCGTGCCATTTTATTCTCATCCTAATTACGAACGTACCGAAATCGTAACTTTCGCGCGTAATTAAAACGAGGCAGGTAAATAAATTGTAAAACAAGAGAGAGAGAGAGAGAGAGAGAGAGAGAGAGAAGGAAGAATTCGTTGGCATGTTCGTCCGACCGAATAATTTTTCGAAGGGTCTTTCATTGTACGCGTGAATACAATGACACGAGGCGAACCCTTTTTGGTCGCATTACTTGCGGCATTTTGGTGTTGCGCGATAAAATAAAACATTTCGCGAAATAACGAGGCCACTGATGCGTCTATAAAAAATATATAGGCGTGTAAAGGTATTTGTACATGTGTGCATTCGCTCGCTTCCGTCGAGTTGACATCGTGAACGAACATGGGTGTAAATTGAACACATGTTTTGCATTAGCGGTGCCATTTTCGCCTATATATACGGTTTCACGAAAAACCTACATTTTCGAACAGCCTCGATACATTACCGCATCGAATCTGCGCGCTAGATTATTCGACGAAATGTCGATCGGGGTGAAATGTTTCCCGTTATCTAAACTGGACCATTGGTTCGATGGAATTTGACGAATTACACGTATTCCACAAAATTGTCCTAGTGTTTTTGGAAATGGGACAAGAAATAATGATGATCGTGTTATTGAATAATAATGTGTACAAATATTTTCAAAATAATTATATACAATAATTGATCAATTAATAATATTAGTGAATTGAGAAATCATAATATTAAGAGTTATAGATATTCTCTTGCATATGTAATAATTTCAAATTCAATCGCTGCATTATGTTATTTTCACTCGCGATATTGATAACTTATTACAACAACATTAGTTAGTAATTATTCAAGGGATTCCAGAAATAGTTGTATTGCAGACTAATTAACAGATGTTTTGTTTCTATAAAGTTTGAAAATAATATTAACATCGGATAACCACACTCATTGATTGACCTGCATTCGATATCCATGGTGTTTATTACTGTTTAAATATATTGTTATTATTAAAATAATTAATTCTCTCATTAATCAGTCAATCATATAATTAAAAATAAAAATTATCATACGAATTAACGATCAACAATTATCCGTTGTAATTCTCCACGCCTATCGTTAATCAGAATAAGCCTTTAACTTTCTTTTCAAATCTGATTCAAGAAAACCCACCTTAAATCTAACTTTCCACAAAATAACAATCTCTAAAAATCCCTTAACGCAGATCTTCAAACGCGATCCATCGAGTATGATGCAATGCTATCCCTTATGTACGAACATTTCGTGTTGGACTAAAGTGGAAAAGAGCACATGCATCCTCATAAGCCGCGACAAGGAAATCTCGTGGCTGGAGGTGGTTGGGCTGGCCACGGGCCCATCGGTCTCTCGGCTGCCG